CTCAAATATAGTACCTCTTATCATCTAGAAACTGATGGTCAAACTGAAGTCGTAAATAGATCAGTTGAAACATACCCTCGTTGTTTCGCCGGCGACCATCTGTTGGAGCACAAGAAAGATAAAAGACAAAAGGAATATTTACTGATAGCTTCAAAAATAAGGATTTACAATGAATTACAATAACCTACTCTACTAGGCTATTTATACACACAAATTAAATCTAAAATATATCTTCTACAAAGATATAAGAAGATCTAAGATTTATATCTTCTAACAAAGATATAAACAATCTAAAAGATATTCCTAAATATAAATTAATATCTAATTAATTCTAAATTAATTCTAACATCATCCCTTAATTTATATTTACCCAAAACTGACAACACTAATTTCATCCCTTAAACTAAGAAATTGATCAGTTTTGATAGCCTTTGTCAGAACATCTGTCAGCTGCTTCCGAGTGCTACAGTGCACAACCTCTATTATTCCATTATGAACTTGATTCCTCAGAAAATGATACTTGGTCTCAATATGCTTGCTTCTCCCATGCACCATTGGATTCTTGGCAAGATTGATTGCAGACTTGTTATCAATCATCAGCTTCAGAGGTTTATTCACCTCAATCTTCAAATCTTTCAGCAAGTTCAGAATCCACACAGCTTGACATGCAGTCAGAGCACCTGCAATGTATTCAGTTTCACAGATTGACAGAGCAACAACAGGCTGCTTCTTGGAACACCAAGAAATAAGACCTTCCAGAAATTTGAATAAATACCCAGAAGTACTTCTTCTGTCAACTCTATCTCCGCACCAATCAGAATCAGAATAGCTCAAAAGTTCTGATTCGATATTTCTTCCAGACGAAAATAACAGTCCATATTTCAGAGTTCCCTTCACATACCTCAGAATCCTGACTGCAGCTTGATAATGGGACCACTTTGGTTTACTCATAAATCTGCTAACCATTCCAACTGCATAGCAAATATCAGGTATGGTATTACACAAATACCTTAGAGAATCAACTATATGTTTGAAGGTTGTAGCATCCAGATCCTCTCCATCAGAATCAGAATCTAACTTCTGATTCGTATCAGCAGGTGTGATAGCAACCTTGCAATTTTCTAGCTCAAATCTCTTAATAACCTCTAGTTAATACTTCATCTGATATAAAATTATTCCTTTCTCAGAGTATATAAATTTCATCCCTAGAAAGAAACTCATTTTTCCAAGATTTGTCATCTCAAACGCATTCATCAGAACTTTCTTGAACTCAACTATCTCTTGTTCAGAACTTCCTGTGAGTAATATGTCATCAACATACAAACATACCAGAATCATATTACCTTCTGAAGTATGCTAAACATAAACACCATACTCCATCTCACACTTCTGAAACCCTTGTTCCTTGAAAACCGAATCAATTTTCAAGTTCCAAGCTCTGGGCGCATGATTCAAGCCATACAATGCTTTGTGTAATTTGAACATCGTCCCTTCCTGATTATTTTTCTCAAATCCAGTAGGTTGTGAAACGTACACCTCTTCTTGTAATGGACCATTCAGAAATGCAGATTTTACATCTAAATGCATCAGAGGCCAATTCTTGTTAGCAGCTATTGCAATCACTAGTCTGATTATTTCATGTATCGCTACAGGTGCAAACACTTCAAAGTAATCCAGCCCAAGCTTCTGTAGGAAGCCTCTTGCTACTAATCTCGCTTTGTGTTTGCCAATTGATCCATCTGGCTTTAGCTTCTGCTTGAAAACCCATCTGACGCTGATGGCTTTCTTGCCTTTTGGAAGTTATGTTAGCTTCCAAGTCTTGTTTCTCTCTATAGCATCAAGTTCTTCTTTCATGGTCTGTAACCAAACTTGGTGCTTAAGAGCCTCTTTCGTACTCACGGGTTCAAAGTCTACTAACATTGCACACTGAATAACTTCTCCTTCAGAGTTTACTTCAGTGTCTAGCAACATGTGAAACTCTGCAAGTCTTCTTGGGATGCTTCTGACTCTTTGTTGCCTCTGAACTGGACCTTCAGAACTTTGGACACCAGAACTTTCCCCTTCAGGAGCACTTGCTTCAGCAATTGGAATTTCTCCAGAACTTTCCCTTTCAGAAGCACTTGCTTCAGAAATTGGACTTTCTCTAGAACCTTGACTGTCTTCAGAGTCTGGATCACCATCGGAGTCAGAGTCAGAATCATCTTCTCCTTTTGTATCTTCTTCAGAGTCAGAGTCTTTACTAGCTTCAAAAACATGTATTTCTGACCTTTCTTCAAAAGTTCTGTCATCAGAGTCAGGACGATACTTTTCCCAATTCCAAACTTCTGATTCATCTACAATGACGTCTCTACGGAACTCAACTTTATTAGTTTCTGGACAATAAAGTTTGTACAAACCTATACCGTGATACCCCACCAGCAACATCACTTTACATCTATCATCCAGCTTTTGTCTTCTGGCTTCTGGGACATGTTTGTAACATGCAGAACCAAATACCTTCAGATGACTAACACTTTGCTTACTCCAGTCCACTTATGAATAAGAACTATTTCCTTTAATTTCTTTGTTGGACATCTGTTGAGCACATAACATGCAGTTGCAACAGCTTCTCCCCACAGAGTATGAGGAAGCTTCTTCTCTTTCAGCATGCTTCTCACCATATATAGCAAAGTACGATTTCTTCTTTCAGCAAGACCATTATGTTGAGGAGTATATGGAGCAGTAACCTCATGCTCAATTCCATTCTCCTCACAAAAACTTCTGAATTCTGTGGAGTTATACTTACCACCACCATCAGTTCTAAGAATTTTCAGAGTCTGGCCACTCTGATTCTCAGCCTTCAGTCTGAACTTTTTGAATTTAGCAAACACCTCGTGTTTGAACTTTATGAGAGATACCCATGTCATTCTGGTGAACTCATCAACAAATGACACAAAATATTTATTCCCTCCAGTCGATGCTACTGGAAACGGACCACATACATCAAAATTTACTACTCCCAAGGCATGTTTTGCTCTTGAAGCTACTTCTGATGCAAAGGGTAATCTTGGTTGCTTCCCTTCCATGCACACCTTGCATGACTTTTCAGGCTTCTTGATTGTAGGAATTCCATGTACCAGATTCTTTGATTTTAGATGCCCTAAACTTCTGAAACTCAGATGACCAAATCTTCTGTGCCACAACTCACTCTCCTTGACAACACTTGTTGCACTAAGACATTCAGAGTCTGCAGTTCTAACATTCACCTTGAATGTTATGTTCCTTCCCTGTTCTGAGTCCATAATTAGCTTCTGATTATAGTCATACAACTTCAGAAGATTGTCCTTCATGGTAACTGAAAAACCTTTCTCAACCAGTTGTCCCACACTCATCAGATTGTTTTTCATGCCAGGTACATACCAAACATTCTGGATCACAACTGCTTTCCCATTGCTTAGAATGATTCTGACATTTCCCATACTTTTTGCATTGAGGTATTTGTCATCAGTACATCTGATCTTTGTACTCTTCCCAGAGTCAAAGTCAACCAACCACTTCTTATTTCCAGTAAGATGGTTTGAACACCCTGTGTCCATATACCACCATTCTGATGAATTCAGATCATCAGGTTCAGAAGCCAACAATAGCACAAGTTCATCATCAGAGTCTCCTCTTGCTATATTTGTTTCTTCCGACTTCCTTTCTTTGTTGCACCAGCAATCTCTGACATAGTGACCAAAGTTCTTACAACAGTAACACTGAACATTCTTCTTGTCAGACTTCTCCTTTCCCTTCTGGACATTCTTCTGCCTATCAGAGTTTGAAACTTCTGACTTTTGACCACCATTAATTTTCTTCCTAGCTTCTGATCAAGTCTGCTTCTGATGCTTCTTACCAGAAGTTACTTTCAGAGTCTGTTGCTCTACTTCCCTCTCAGAAGTTCTTGCAGTCATACGCAACTCATGCGCCTCTAGACTACTTTGCAGCTCTTCAACTCTCATGGTGCTCATATCTTTGGAATGTTCAATTGCTACAACAATGTAATCAAACTGAGAAGTTAAAGATCTCAAGATCTTCTCAATAATTACTTGTTCAGACATAGTTTCTCCACAAACTTTCATCTCATTAGTGATCAGAATCACTCTAGAGATGTATTCAGAAACCTTCTTGTTGTCCTTCATGTTGAGATTCTCATATTGCTTTCTGAGAGACTGAAGTTTCACCTTCTTCACTGATGCGTCACCACCGTAACATCTGACCAGTGTGTCCCACACAACCTTTGTTGTTTCAGAATCAACAATCTTCTCAAACACATTCACATCCACACATTGATGGATGTAGAACAACGCTTTCTGATCTTTCTTCCTCAACACCTTCTGTGTTATCTTCTGGTCCTCTGTTGCATCTGCTTCTAACAGATTATAGCCACCAGTAACAAGTTCTAACACATCTTGAGAACCGAATAACACGCACATCTGGATCTTCCAACGATTCTAGTTTTTGTCATCAAATACTGGAAGCTTGAAATGAATATCGTCGTTTCCGTTCATCTTCTACCTTATGCAATTTACGTCGAAACTCAATGAAAAATGAATGTTTCCCAAATTCCAGAGTTTCTAACTATGAGCTCTAGATACCAATTGTTGGAGCACAAGAAAGATAAAAAGCAAAAAAAATATTTACTGATACCTTCAAAAATAAGGATTTACAATGAATTACAATAACTTACTCCACTATACTATTTATACACACAAATTAAATCTAATATATATCTTCTATAAAGATATAAGAAGATCTAAGATTTATATCTTCTAACAAAAATATAAACAATCTAAAAAATTAATTATAAGACATCCTCGTCACTGTACAAATTTCTACACGTTGCAGAATTCTGGTATAACACATCATTTTACTCAACAACCCAAATGACTCATTTTAAATCTTTGTACGGTTGTGACCCTCCTAATATCCTGACTACTTCACTGATGATGCCGCTATCTCTCCTCAAACAGAGGACCAAACTATGGACAAGGGTTTTGTGTTGGACATAGAAGATGAAGAGAACAAGTGTGTTCTCTCTTCATACTTACGCACTCAAGACACTCTAAGAAACCCCACTTAGAAAATGGAAGTGTTATGCGAAAACATATCCCACATAACTCACTTACACGTTTGGAAGCCTCACGTGACTTAACAGACACCAAGCGGACAACTGGCCTCTGTAATCTCAACGGATCTCTTCCTGACACATCCCCGTTTCTTCCACTTCTCACAAGGCTCGAGGTAGACATCCTGTCCCCATCTCTTCACATGCAAGCTGGCGCGTGTCCCCATTAGTCGTTTCCCATTCTCCACCACACAACACACTTCCTTCTTATCCTTTGACCATTCAACCCATTTAGTTTCCCCTCAGCCCAGTGCAAATCAAGATGGGCTTTGTTCCAATGAAATCCCAATTGCCAACTCACACCAAGACCGCCCCCCAACTCTAAACCTTGAGGGCAAGGTTCCTTTTGGGTCTATGAGTATTGTTAGGAAAGTGACTCGGCCCATTAGAGAAAAGAAGGTATCAATTTTACTAAAGGATTGCTATTTTTAATTATGGGTGTATTTAGCAGTATTTATTTGTGTGCTATTTTTTTATTTTAAGAGGTCTATGGCCCATTTAATCTTAATAATTCTAGCTATATATTGTATTTGTTATGTTGGGAATTGACAAGAAGAAAAGTTGTTTTTATCATTTATCTCTTATGCAATTTAGATTTTAATTTAGCTTAGCATAGTCTATTATGGAGTGTTTAATCTCATTTCTATAAAATATTTAAAAAGGAACTTATATTCTCCGCTCTGCGGCTGTATATTATATATTTATTTGCAAAACTGATCGTTTTGAGCACAATAAACTGATAATGACATGAAGTTGTTGGAATTAAATTGGTTTGTACCATATCATTAAGGGTTTGATGATAACATAATATTTAAAGAATAAATTATTATACTAATGTTTGTTCAAGTGTGCATGATCATAGACTAAATTTTGATATAGAAACTAAATGTTGGCATTGAATATTGAACATTAAAGAAAAGCTAAAAGAACAAGAATCTGAAGAATCAGAACCCGAGCATCACACTCTGAAGATGTCAACTTATGAAAATCATACTCTGAAGAAAGTCAACCTCTAAAGATCCAGACTCTGAAGACTCATAATCTGAAGCTGGCCAACTTAAAGATCAAGAAGACTCTGAAGAGGTCAACTTCTGAACACCATACTATGAAGAAAGTACATCTCTGAAGATCCAGACTCTGAAGTTAGTTAAGCGCTAGGATCAAGAAATTCTGACATGTCACTATCAGACTCAGATAGCAATTTTTCTTCTTCTGATCACATGAAGATTCAAACTGAAAGACTACAAAGATGGAACGGATAATTCCTTTTGGAGAAAAGGAAATTTCAATGACTTTTGCAAAGTATTAACCATATCAAGTGACATTCCAATGTCTCTGATCAAAGCTTCTCCAAAGACTCACTTGTGCATGAAGTTTTCTTCAACAAATATTTCAAGTCGCTCTATATAAGGAGTTGAAGTCTTGAAGAAATAATAATGAACTATTAACAAACAAAAAGTTGTTACTCTCTCAAATCAAAATAAAAAATTTAACTTATAATTTATTAACACTTTATATTCTACAAATTCTTAAGTCTTAAGAGTCTTTTGTGTTGTATTCTATTTATACCTCTGATTGTATATCAAATATAATACTGAAACAATCTCTCATATGTAAGTTAGATTGTTAGAAGTTTCTTTCCTATTTGCTTGAGTATTAGAAGTCTCTTACCTGTGTGTTTGAGCATTGGAAATCTATTGCTTGTGTGCTTGAACATTTGAAATCTATTATTTGTGTATTTGAGCATTAGAAGTATCTTACTCGTGTGTTTGAGCATTAGAAGTCTCTTGTGTGTTTGAGCATTGGAAGTTTCTTGCTTGTGTGCTTGAGCATTTGAAGTCTCTTACTTGTATGTTTGAGCATTATAAATCTCTTGCTTGTATGAATGAGCAATTGTAATCATAAGTGATTATAGTGAAATCTCTTGGAAGTACAACAGATCTGGACTACTCCTAATTTGTGGGAGGAACCAGGATAAATTGTCAGTGTCTCTTGATAACGAGAAAACATATCGTATAATTAACATGCTTTTTACGATTTTATATTTCATTAAGTCGTCTAAACCTCGATTATTCCGAGATTATTTGTCTTTTTGCAGGTATAACACTTGTCGACTCAAACCGATGGAAAAGGACAACATGAAGAAGGATAGACGAAAAACAAAGAGAAAAAGAATAAAAAAATACAAAGTTTGGACTTCTGGATCTGTGACGGTCGTCACGTCCCTGTGACGGGCGTAACACCCCACAACATAAGGAAACGCTCGTCACACACCACTGACGAGCGTAAGGCACCACTTCAGCGTGTGATGACCGTCACCCACCTGTGACGACCGTCACGCGCGTGAAGGTGGACGTTATGCATGGATTGAAGACGTGGGCGTGAAGGGCAGACTCGTTCTCCCTTTTTCTATTGAATCTCATATTTTCTTACCACCACTATTACTGCTCCTACATTTTCTCCACGAAGACTTCATCAAAAATTCAAAATTAAACTGCTGATTTTTCCTGCTATATATATGAGTACCAGTACACAGTTCAAGGGTCGAAGAATTTTACTCAGAACAAATATTTATTTTATTTTACAGTTATTTCCAATTTGCTTGTTTTGGAATTCTGTTTTCATTTTCTTGTAATTTTCATTCAAAGCCTTAGTTTCTATTTTTAAGTGTTAATTCTTCTTTCAAGAATTAACACGAATTTCTACTGCAAGTCAAGCTCGAAGATTGGATTACTGTATTACCTCAAGATTACTATAGCGTCTTTAAATCCAGGTTTTTTATATTGCAATTATTATTTATTCAGTTTTTATAATATGCCAATTATTGCCATGAATTATATTTTAAACTTTATTGCTGTTAAGTTAATTATGTCTGGCTAAATTATTAATATCGGTATGTGACCGTAAGAACTGAAAGAATTTAATGATACCTTGGTCAAAAATATTTATAAAACAATTTCTGGTTTCCAATTTCCAAGATTAATTTAACTATCCTTGTCACGAGAGTGAGAGGTTAATTAACACGATTTTGCCACGAGAGTGGGAAATTAATTAAGGAAAGAACTTGCATGCGAGAGCTGGGGTTCAACCCAGATAGTGGTAACGAAGCATTGATTTTTAAATACACGAGAGTGTTTTAATAAATTAATTAAATTCAAATTGTTTTCAAAAAGTGTTATTAAATTTAAAGTGCATCCACTAGGTTTAGTAGCATGACTTATTTCATAAACACGAGAGTGTATGTCTCAGATTTTTAAACAATTAGCTTTTACCGAAATACTTTATAGGCCAAGCGATTCATCGAATTCCCTAAGTCCGATTATCACATACCGGTATAATTAGTACTATTACTTTTAATTAAACTGTTTCCCCCAAAAATCGAATATTCATCGCTTAGTTAGACAAACTGTAGCATTAGATCGTATGCGATTGATCCTCAGTCTTTGTGGGTTCGATAATCTTTTAAAACTAGAACGACTGAACTGTATACTTGCAGTTAGTATCCCGACAGACTTATAAAGTCCCGATCAAGTTTTTGGCGCCGTTGCCGGGGACTGGTAGTCAATTAATTACGATTCTTCTGTTGCGCATTTAGACTAAGCAACAGACACCCTTTGTCGATTTGTATGCCAAGGACTCGCTCACAAGGCAAACCACTTGACAAATCGACGGACGAACCTGAACGCATTCTTTCCGTAAGACATGCAGTCAGGGATTACTGTTTAAATCACGCTATTCCTTTACCCAAACCGGAAATCAAGATTGATTCTGAAACTGATTCTAATTCTTCCTCTGAAACCGAAATCAATCCAGAATTAGACATGGCCGAAGAACAAAGGACCCGTCCACTGAAGGAGTACGCAGCTCCATCACAACAAGATCCCCATAACAGCATTGCTGCTCCAGCAATAAACCGAAACGATTTCGAGTTAAAGCCGTCATTGATATCAGCTATCCAACAACGCCAATTCTCTAGAGATCCTTCTGAGGATCCGAATGAACACGTTACAAAATTCGTTCAATTTGCCGACCCAGTTATAACAAATGGTGTTAGTAAAGATGCGATAAGATTACGTATTTTCCCTTTCTCACTAAGAGATAGAGCTTGGGCTTGGTTGCAATTCTTGCCATCAAATTCCGTCACTACGTGGGAAGGACTGAAGATCGTATTCTTAGCACGATACTTTCCCCCAAGCAAGACCGCTGCACTAAGAGCCCAAATCAACGGATTTAGGCAGAAGGATACCGAATCACTATTCGATGCATGGGAGCGCTACAAAGATATGATGTGAATGTGCCCACATCACGGACTAGAAAAAGGGCTGATAATCCATACGTTTTATAATGGACTCTTGTATAACACAAGACTACCTATAGATGCCGCCGCAGGTGGTACACTGATGGACAAGCCTTATGACGAAGCTAACCAACTCATTGAAAACATGGCTCAAAACCACTATCAGTGGGGAGGAGAAAGAACATCTATAGAGAAGACTCAAGCCAAAGGCGGGATGTACGAGATTAGTAGCCTAGATAAAGTTAATGCTAAGGTAGATGCTCATACCCAAAAGATAGAAAGCTTGACCTTACCTCCTGCAGCTACCGTAGCTGCAGTTACCCCAAGTTGCGAAGTTTGTGGAGTACCTGGTCATGTTGGAACCGAATGTCAAATCTTAGCAGGAATAACGGCTGATCAGATAAATTACGCTCAAGGAAATCCTTATGCCAATACCTACAATCCTGGTTGGAAGAACCATCCTAACTTCTCGTACAAGAGCGAGCAATAACGCTTTATATGCACCTGGCCAAGCACCTGCTGTACCTCCAGGTTATCAAAAACCCGCTGGTAATGTTCCTAACATTCCTAAGAAATCTAACCTTGAAATCCTAATGGAAAATTTTATCGCTAATCAAGCCTAACAAAACAAAGAATTCCTCAATCAAAACGTTCACACCGGTGAACAATTGAAGCTATTAGCAAACAAGGTAGATGCCCTAGCTACTCACAACAAAATGTTAGAAACCCAAATCTCCCAAGTAGCACAACACCAAGCTAGTTCTGCCGCACCTGCTGGTACATTTCCTGGACAGCCACAGCCCAATCCTAAAGGACATGCAAATGCT